GATAATATTAGTTTTGACGGTGCTTTTTCATAATTATAAGTTTAATGATTCATTAGCACAGACAAATTGATACTCTGAATATTAAAACATACAGCAAGCCGATCCATCTACCATCCATACTAATACTTACTAAATGCACTTTTATGACATGATGTGGAGGTGAGGAAAGGATACACAAGTTTTTATCTCATTTCTTCTCTATTCTTCTGCGTAGAAACTGATTTTTTATGTATTCAGTATTTCTGTACGCGTCGCTCTTTCTATGTGAGCAGAATCCAGCCGCGTCATAAAATTTATTTTATATTCTTAAACTAAAAAAAAACTGGCTATAGTTTTTACATATTTTTACTTTAGTCTATTTGCAATATTCTTCGAGGAGGTCTTACAGCCACAATTTGTAGTTCATTTCACTAATTAAAGCCAAAACCTGTTTAAAGTTTGTAATTTCCGTACCTTAATTGGCCTTTGTTTGAATAGTTTTGTTCCAATTAATAGCGGTTTTCCCTTATACGGTAAGTCATTTATTTTACAGAGTTGTTCCAGTGGTGGTGACAATAACATGATTTAAAGATTTCTAAAACCAGAACATACAAAATTGCATTCATCGGGAGGAGATCAATCGCGCAGAATAAGTTTTGTTCTGATGGATTAAGTCAGCTTTTTTAAAGAAAACCTTGTGTGCAGCGTGCGACAAAACTCGCTCTTCAAGCATTGAACAGCAAATAGCAAGGTAAGACGGTTCGATAACCTGCAAGCATTGCACAACCCTTCGGAAATGTCTACACGTTAATAATTTCAAGGAGGGGTATCATCGAGGTTTTAGCCGAAGGCCCTTTTTTACTCTTACAGCTGTGATATTTACTCTAAACAATATCAAGTTTCAAGTGCGGATTTTATGGTTAGAATTAATGCCGGGTTAATAGCACTGTTCACAAAACCCAGATGATTGTACTTGGACGAAAATTTCGATAGAATCGAACATCCTTATAATCATGACGTCTCCATAACAACTTATAGGGAACTTATAGGAAAATGATGTTTTGAAATACCCCAAATCAGTGAGCTAAGGAGTAGAACACATTTGCATTGTTTGTCATTGTTTATCAATGTCTGTGAAAAAAGTTAAAAATGAAAGTTAGTATTTGTTTGACTGATTTTGATTATAGATCAAAATATCTCTATACATAAGCAGTTGTGAAGTGTAAATTACCACAAAGAGATTTTTATGTTAGCGCCGTTAATATTCTGTGGCATTATCGTTTCGAAATCACAATTAGTTTTGCATTGCAATTTTTCTGGAATTTTTCTGKGATTAGTTTCTATATTAGTTTCTAGTGGATTGATTTTCACTTGTCAAACATGCCAAACGTGTCAAATGACGTCCAAAATAATATATGCAAATTAAAGTAAAGCCGTAAGTGCGAATTTTTATCCATAAAAACATTTTGTTTTTATATACTTCCTTTCTTTTTTTGTCCAACTAGCATGGTACTACTAAAACAATAAGTCCACTCGCACCCGAAGTATACTATTGTCAAATAGGCCTTGAATTCGTAATTTCAGCAAAATATAAAAATTAACATAACAATGAAAACCCGTTCTATGATATGATGATGCAAAGAAAATTCTAGAATGACTATTCTCATTGGAAGAAAAATAGAGTCATCACTGATGTTATCTGATCCCATCAACATGGTAAAATGATATTAATAATATATGATGACTACACGTATAATGATAGTGATGATTACTGTTNTTCTACCTTATTTCCAGTTACTTCTACCATGTTTCCAACTACTACTAGCTAATGATAATCAAATTATTAGAAATAATCAGTTTAACATTAATTTAGTGAAAAAAGGTCTTTGATACATGACTCCCTCACGACTCGATCCCCTACCGTCCAGTCTATATGCGCCGTCTTATACCATTACACCACCGAGTTTCTGATGCGATTCCTCGGAAGATAACATACTTATAAATCTTTTGGATTAGGCTCATTAGGAATGCCATGAATAGCAGACAAAGACAATTTGAATAGCTTTTGTTTCAGAAAGCAGTCCGGGAATTGAAGAACAGAAAACGGTGCTTCATGTATTCAAAATTATGAAAACTGAAAACCTTAGTGGAGATGCAATAAAGCAATATATTTCTGTTATAAGTATTTCCTTCGCTTTTTTCCCCTCCCGAATAATTAATGAGTTTTTGAAGTCGTTCAAAGGCCTCCAATTCGGACTTGACGGGATTTCAAAGTCCTTGCAATTAGTTCCAGTCCTTGCAATTAGTTCCAGTCATCGGCTAGCGCCTCGGACTGGAACTAATATCGCGGACTTTGAAACCCCGTCAAGTCCTCATTGTCGGCCTTTAAAGTCTTACTTTTTTATCAGAAAAAACCTGAGTAAATGAGTTCGTGTATTCTGACAAAAAATTAAATATTTCCAAATAAAACCAAATATGTTCCGTCCGTTTACCACCACCACCACAGGAAATACATACTCAAACACTTTCATAYTGATAATATTAGTTTTGACGGTGCTTTTTCATAATTATAAGTTTAATGATTCATTAGCACAGACAAATTGATACTCTGAATATTAAAACATACAGCAAGCCGATCCATCTACCATCCATACTAACACTTACTAAATGCACTTTTATGACGTGATGTGGAGGTGAGGAAAGGATACACAAGTTTTTATCTCATTTCTTCTCTATTCTTCTGCGTAGAAACTGATTTTTTATGTATTCAGTATTTCTGTACGCGTCGCTCTTTCTATGTGAGCAGAATCCAGCCGCGTCATAAAATTTATTTTATATTCTTAAACTAAAAAAAAACTGGCTATAGTTTTTACATATTTTTACTTTAGTCTATTTGCAATATTCTTCGAGGAGGTCTTACAGCCACAATTTGTAGTTCATTTCACTAATTAAAGCCAAAACCTGTTTAAAGTTTGTAATTTCCGTACCTTAATTGGCCTTTGTTTGAATAGTTTTGTTCCAATTAATAGCGGTTTTCCCTTATACGGTAAGTCATTTATTTTACAGAGTTGTTCCAGTGGTGGTGACAATAACATGATTTAAAGATTTCTAAAACCAGAACATACAAAATTGCATTCATCGGGAGGAGATCAATCGCGCAGAATAAGTTTTGTTCTGATGGATTAAGTCAGCTTTTTTAAAGAAAACCTTGTGTGCAGCGTGCGACAAAACTCGCTCTTCAAGCATTGAACAGCAAATAGCAAGGTAAGACGGTTCGATAACCTGCAAGCATTGCACAACCCTTCGGAAATGTCTACACGTTAATAATTTCAAGGAGGGGTATCATCGAGGTTTTAGCCGAAGGCCCTTTTTTACTCTTACAGCTGTGATATTTACTCTAAACAATATCAAGTTTCAAGTGCGGATTTTATGGTTAGAATTAATGCCGGGTTAATAGCACTGTTCACAAAACCCAGATGATTGTACTTGGACGAAAATTTCGATAGAATCGAACATCCTTATAATCATGACGTCTCCATAACAACTTATAGGGAACTTATAGGAAAATGATGTTTTGAAATACCCCAAATCAGTGAGCTAAGGAGTAGAACACATTTGCATTGTTTGTCATTGTTTATCAATGTCTGTGAAAAAAGTTAAAAATGAAAGTTAGTATTTGTTTGACTGATTTTGATTATAGATCAAAATATCTCTATACATAAGCAGTTGTGAAGTGTAAATTACCACAAAGAGATTTTTATGTTAGCGCCGTTAATATTCTGTGGCATTATCGTTTCGAAATCACAATTAGTTTTGCATTGCAATTTTTCTGGAATTTTTCTGKGATTAGTTTCTATATTAGTTTCTAGTGGATTGATTTTCACTTGTCAAACATGCCAAACGTGTCAAATGACGTCCAAAATAATATATGCAAATTAAAGTAAAGCCGTAAGTGCGAATTTTTATCCATAAAAACATTTTGTTTTTATATACTTCCTTTCTTTTTTTGTCCAACTAGCATGGTACTACTAAAACAATAAGTCCACTCGCACCCGAAGTATACTATTGTCAAATAGGCCTTGAATTCGTAATTTCAGCAAAATATAAAAATTAACATAACAATGAAAACCCGTTCTATGATATGATGATGCAAAGAAAATTCTAGAATGACTATTCTCATTGGAAGAAAAATAGAGTCATCACTGATGTTATCTGATCCCATCAACATGGTAAAATGATATTAATAATATATGATGACTACACGTATAATGATAGTGATGATTACTGTTCGCGCATTGATAATAACGATGATTGCACGTATGATAATGATGATCACAGTCTGCGCATTGATAATAACGTTGATTAAATGTATGATAGTGATGATTACAGCCTGCTCATTGATAATAATAATTACACGTATGATAGTGATGATTACAACCTGCGCAGAATATGGGTCATTATGCGTCGAATTGCMCAGAGAAGAGAGTGACCTCGGGRAACGACGGAAAGGGATTGCTGCGGGGCAGCCAATCCTATTGTACAATCCAGCCCCGAGTCTTACAGAGGAAAGCCATGAACTACTGTCAGTTATGTTACCTATCTTTTTAGACACGGGAGCAACGACAAGTATTATTGATGAAGAAATGCGAAAAAAGGGGATGTTATAGCCCTGATATGGATAAACTAGAATCTATAGATGCTACTTAAACAGTTGCAGAAAAGCTAGCAGTAAAAGGGAGAACAAACGTTAGACTGCGGGTAGCAACTGTCGATTTACTTGTCTCTATGGTCGTGGTGAAGGGTATTTATCATGAAGTACTACTGGGTACAGATTTCTTTGAATGRGTGTGTGCAAAATATCACATTGACAGGGTAGTGAGATACCTATCCATTATCAAAAATCAAGCCCTAGTGTTTGTCGATTAATGCTAATAGAGAAGATAGAAATTCAACCATGAACTGAACTGTCGATCACGGCTCAACTAGAAAAGGGGTTTCAAAGAAATGATTGTTCCCCAGTGATGGTAGAAAAAGTTAACAATGTGTGCTTGGACGATAGTCCCTATCTAGCTCGAACGCTCGTCGTACCCAAAAAAGGGAAAGCCCTTGTTCGGTTGGCTAATTTAAGTGATAAATCTATAACGTTGAAAGCTAATAAAGTAATTGGCCGATTTTACCACTTACATCAGAACAGTGGTTCAGTAAGTGTATTTGACGTGAAATCGAGTCAAGAGAGTGAAAGCTGCAAGCGTGCGGAAAGATTCAGTGAAATTTATCTTTCAGAAGATGCGCATGAACTTTCGGAAGAACAGAAAATTCAATTTTCTGCTCTTATCGAAGAATTTAGTGATATCATAGCTGAGGAGAATGGCGAACTTGGATTGACGGACTTCATAGAGTACAAGATTGATACTGGCAACGCTGCGCCTATCAAACAACCGCCCCGTCGTCTACCACCATTTAAGAGAGANGTTTGCTTATAAAGCTTGTTTCGTTCTATACTACTTAACTTCAAATGTTGGTTCAGCTTTGAAAAAAAAAACATTATTTCTTAAATCATTTCGCAGGGGATGAAATCGCCAGTCCAGACTTGTATTGGAAGAAGCTGCACTCTGACACTAAGTGTGAGTTAATGTTCTTTTTGATTATTGAATTAAGTTGTCATTAAAGGTGAACTTCAGACCATGTAATGATCGCGAATTCCAAGATGATGGATACTTCTCATATAATCTCTTTCTCTAAAATGGACTCCATCCCGGGACAAGTTATTGAAATTGTATTGAGTTATTGATTGAATGTGATTGTCTTGTTTTGCAGAAAGGCCATTCAGTGCTTGGTAAGTAAACTAAATATTATGTATTCCTCTCCCACTCCCCTATTTTATTTCTTATTCATCATAATCTACTTCTCCTTGCTCTTCCTTCTGTATGGTAATGCTCGCACAGGTCAAACTGACTCATCAACTTAACATGACTCTAGCTATGTATTTATTCTATTTTTATTTCCTTAAAGGGACATAGTCCACCAGCATTCACTGCGGTCTTGTTTTAGATTTTTCATATATGGAAAATGAGTTTACTATGAAAATTCATTCGCAATCCGTTTCCATCCATTCGGTTTAAAGGTCGAATCTTACAGTATCTCCATTTATATAGTATGAATATGGATAATAAGGAGTAAGTTTTTGCTGATATTACGATGTATTTTTTTATTTTCAAACATGAGCAAAGCTCGAAAGGGATGCTGGTGGACCATGTCCCTTTAAAAGTAGCCAAGCTCATTGATAGCCAAGCCTGCGCGCTTGCGTTCTTAGTTTGGGTGGGAGCCAAGAAACGGAAGAACAATGGGTCGCTGCTGCAGGCTTTCTCTTCCGTTTGTTCGCTCCGCCCCCAGTTAGGAACGAATGCACGCAGGCTATTGATAACGCAATACTCCATTATCGAATTCAAAGCGAATAACCGCTGTTTTATTTGACAGCAGATTCTATTACGCAAAGAGCTTACCAAACACAAAAGAAAGCACGAGAAAATGTTGTAAGTACAATGGCGCTAACAATTTACATTTTACCCGAGTTGAGGCTAACCCTGTATTCCCAGAAGGCTCATACTTTAGGTCTCATGGGAATACAGGGTTAGTCTCAACTTGGGGGAAATGCAAATTTTCAAGGCCATTGTAATAACGACATTTTTTCGTGCTCTCTTTTGTGTTTAGTCAGGTCTATGCGCAAGAGAATCTGTTGTCAAATAAAGCAGCGGTTTTTCGCTATGAATTCGAAACTGGAGTATTATACCTTATAAATATTGACATGACATGATAACAGCAAAGATTGCATGTTTTAATTTAATTTGCATTGACCTGAATCGTTCCAAATGGCGTCACATACTGTCGTCATATAACTATATGATGCCTAAAAATATTGTATTGATATCAGATTTATCATGTAAAAATCTCAAGAAAAATGTGCGTGTTGCTTGTAGTTCTTTCCCACTGACGTTGCTATCACCCGGGCTTGACTTTCATCTTCTTTTTGCGAGTAATAATGTCAACTCAATGAAAGTTGCTGGACAGACATAAAACCTCATGCTGTATATATTTTCAAAATTTGCTATTTTTATGTTTTGAAGTTGTTGAAATCAAAAAGAATTGATACGAAGAGAAAAGAAAAAAACAAAACAAAACAAAACAAAATAAAACAAACAGCAACTAAGTATAAATCGGCCTGGTGTGAAAGCGCTCAACATCTAATTAAAAGGACCAAAGACCTCCTAGCCTGATTTTCAGACGGGGCCTGGGTCCTACGCTTCTCTCCGCCCCCAAACAACCGTCTGATGGACTTCGAAACCAACCGTGTTCTTGACGTCACTATCTTTTGTTTAGTCAATAGCCAATAAAAATACTTGTTAGAATCAGATTTTCGCGGGAATTTGTCTTCTTTTTATCATGGGTCGTCATGCTTAATTCCACTCCTAAGAAAGCTGTTATTTTACCGTCTGAAGAAATATGTCAATTCCATTGTGTTATTTGCGGCGTCGAAGTCTCAACTAAAGATCGATTGTCATTATTTGGACGTTCAAAGTTAGATTTAAAAGGTGCGATATCACAACTTTTGGA